GAGAGAGAGAGAGAGAAAGAGAGTTGTAGGGGAACCAAGTGCGTGGAGGTAATGAATATAACAAAAAGGCAGGGCAAAAAGGAGGGGGTACTGGATTACAAGAGGTCATTAGTACTTTACGTTCCAAATTTAAGGTATTTGACATGTGTCTCGTCGATGTTAAGGCCATCATCATCATCATCATCATCATCATCATCATCATCATCATCATCATCATCATCATCATCATCATCATCATCATTATTATGATTATGAAGTTGATTATGATGATGACTATTATTGTTATTATAATCATTGTGAAGATGATTATTTACTACTACTACTACTACTACTACTACTACTACTACTACTACTACTACTACTACTACTACTACTACTACTACTACTACTACTACTACTACTACTACTGCTGCTGCTGCTGGCTCTTCAACTTGCAGTGCATCTGATTTTTCACGCATGTGACTGTTTTCCTTACTTTGAGTTGTAGGCTCCTTTGCCTTCAGGCAGCCACATTCCGTTTTCAAAGATACTCTAATGTTTTTATACTGATTAAAGTATCTTCAGTTTTGGTAGGAATTACGTTTGAATTTTGCCTGGTGGGGGGCCGAAGCCTTAAGGATCAATTTTACGACCACAAAGTGATCTTTAACAACATGTGCAACTTGCACACGTGAGCTCCGAGATTTTTCGCCCTTATCCGAGAAGGCATTGTGTTAGATCATACCTACCCTAAGACCAGGGGTATGACTGAAAGACAGCAGTAAGAAGGAGCCAGGAGTAGCAGTAGAATCAGTCAGGAGTAAAGGAAAGAGGATCTCAGAGGAAGCCCGGGGTGGGGGATGGGAGATGGGCTGGAGGTGGGGGTCGGAGGAGGGAGGAGAAAGTGGAGGACCAAGCAGTTAAAGGAACCAGGACTGGGGAACACGAAAGGAAGGGATAGGAGAGAATTTTAGATAACGTTTTTGTTGATGTCACGTTTCGATCTCGGGACTTTTTGTATGAGAAGCGAACGCTGTACTTGCAGACCACGTCGGGTTGAGGGTTGGGAGGGGGGGGT